GCTCATTAGTCATGTCTGACGTGTCAACACTTTATTTCAAGCTAACGGCATATCCAGTGGGAAGGCTTGCATAACAACATGGATCTTTTCCTTCAATAAGGCCTTGCAAGAACATTTTTCTTGCTCGGTATAGAGTAATCCTATTTTAAAAATGTCTCACTCTCTCAGTTGCTCGATGGAAATAAGACGCATGCACTGACATTTTGAGAACTGGAATGACATGAAACATGAGCCATGGAAATTTTGGTCAGCAGAAACTATTTTTTTTATTTATGCAAAGTTATTCCCATACACGATTAGCAACAGTGAATCACAGACGCCCCTTCTCCGATTTTAGGGTGGTCTGTACACAGGCTAGCAGGGATGTCGTTAAGACCTGACTACCGGCTAGTTCAACTAGCTGAAAAAGAGCTTACCACCAGCTGAATTTGCAAACCAAAACAAAGACATAGGGGAATTTTAGAGATGCAGTAGAGCAAAAAAGCCAGCTTGACTTCTAACAAAGCCTGCTTATCCATATATTTCATGAATCGACTATTTTAAAAATGATATCCTTTTGTTTTGCTTGCATCATTAAAACCGTTGTTTTATTATTTAAGGATGGATCAAATATTCTACATGAAATCTTGACCTGTATTCTGCTGTTCATTTTGTTTAGATGTTGCTGCATTTCAATATTTATTGTACTTACCAGATGGATCTGATGGCTGAGGCAACAACAGTGACCAAAGATAAGATTTACATTTTGTTGTTATTGTAACACAACAACTTTAGTTTTCACTTAAATGATTTGTCTTGTACAGCTGTTCATTTGCTATTACCTAAAATAAACATCTGTATTGGCCTTGAAAATGAGCTTTTTTATTTCATTGAAACTTGTCCAAACTAAATAGGATGGAACCGTTGAAATTTGTTGTTCATTTTCAATGGTCAACTTTAGAACGTCATGATTGCAGCCTGGAAAGGAGATACAGTACTACTTGTATTTACATGTATTCCAGATTCCAGATGAATTTTGTATTGCAACGGTTGATTGATACCCATAGTGTGCCTTCATTTTTCAGCTCTCTCTTTATTGAGATAGTAAAGAGTGTCTTTCAACCACTGTCCTTTGACTACATAAAATTCAGTCTGAAGCAAGCATTTTTGGATTAACCGAAATTTAGAATCAACGTCTCGTCTGTTTCCATCGTGTTGTATGAGAATTCCTTTGTCTTCTCTCTTACTTTTCTGATAACCTTGCGTGGCTATTTATTGCTAAAAATGCTTTTCCTTGCATTTTTGCTCGGTAACTTTTTTACCCGGACTGGGAGAAAGGGTTTTGCGATGTTCGCCTGCTACGAATTTCCAATAGATATATATGCCGTTTTTAAACATCATACTTATTTCCTTGAACAGTGCAGCACGTATATGTTACGCTCATTCTGGAAGTGCTTCTTCTCCTCGGTAATCCAATAAGGAAAAAATCACTAAAGTGCAAATTGAGAGAGAAACTAGCCACGCCCAAGAATTAAGGATCGCTCGGAAAAGCTTGGGTTTGATCTGGACAGGCGTCACCTTCAACAATTTAAAGCGATTATTGCTTAAACCTCGATGGGTGAATTTAGAATTTAGAACCATACAGTGGACCGTTTCCTGATACGATCCTCCCTATAAGCAATAGGGAGTTTAAGATATCACGACGGCGACGGCCACGAAAACGTCATTTAAAAAGTGAATTTGTGTTCTTTCAATCTCTATCACGATTACTCCAACTCATTTGCTTTGTCAAATACAAGTGAACTCTTTTTAAGCCGAATTCCTAAGAACCATATTCAAGTTCAGAAAGAGAACGAGCATTTTGACGCATGCGCAAACAAATTGCCTTCCTGTTGGGCAAACGGAGTTTGCATGCCGCTATAACCACGCACGGCCCACGCAATACTCGGGCGGCTCACTCGCGACGAGATTAGTAGTGGAGTATACGTATACGTAGACAGAAATTCTCCAGTCCGAGCCATAGCCTGGATAACGATTTCGTGCCTTGTGATTGGTTGAGGTCAAAACCAAAACAAAATAAACTTGGCCGAGAGATACTAGAAATAGGAAGAAGTTGAACCTTTTTTTTTTTTTTTTTTTTTTTTTAATGGCAGCCATTTGCGGTAATTGGCCAAAACAAAATTCAATACTAACACTGCACGGAAAGACAGCATAAAAATAATTCATTTAGTTAAAACGTTCCGCTTACAAAAATTGACATTTTCTTACTCTGAAAGAGTGAAACGGATTCTTTCCAGTACAAATCCATCATTTGAACGTCGTGGTCCTCCACCCGCGGTGCCAAAGAAAATGCTTAAACTGCATCGCACCAGAGATCAAACCTGGAGTTTAAAGCAACAAAACCCCAGGAAATTTTGCGGGAAATAGGTCAGCTTCTTGACTTCCCAACGTGAAACCAGCGGCAAAATAAGATTAGCTGCAAAGCATAATCTACCTGCTAGAAAGAAAAAAATTAGAACCA